GCAGCTCTTATTATTATTATTATTATTATTATTATTATTATTATCATCATCATTATTAGTGGTAGTATCAACATCACCATTTTTAAAAACACTTTTAAACTGAAACTGTCCTTTCATCCATGCAGACTCTAAAAACCAAGATAGACAGCAACATTCGTCACCTACGCTGAAAATTTGAATCATAATAATTTCAAGTCCAGAGTGGAAGCTATGGCTGGCAGATGACAAAGTTTCCGTGAGCAGACAATCCATATTCTAGAAATTTCCATATGTTGACGCCACCAACTTGAAAAATTCGATGAGAAATTTCTATTTAGAACTCGTCGGTCAATCAGTATTCAAGTTACGTTGATGTTATAGTTATAGTAAATTACTACAATTTGTTCTGGCTAAAATGTGCACTACGCCAGGAAAAAACCACCTGTATGAAGTGGCTAAAAAATATTGAAATGAACGAGATGGTACAGGCCTTTAGCCTTTAGGTCGGTACGTACACAGAGAAAAGACACACGGACTAGTCGCTGCGACACTTCGCTTCGTTTGTCATGAATGTTTGTGGAAATCTTTATCCCTACCACAGAATTTTGTCTCGGAAATTCGTTTTTATGACAATAGCAATTGTTTTCGGAACTAATTCACAGGGAGGGAGTTGAGGTAGAACCTTGACCAAGTGATTTTTCGCTTTGTGTGTACCAACCTTGATACACCTGTCAAAGACATAAGTAGTGACAAAATAAGTATTGTAGCAATTATTTATGATTGAGAATTGAAGAAATGAAACAGAAATTACCCAACTTACCTGAAGCTATGATTGTTTATATGTGTTTTAGAATTGACTCTTAAAAAGAGTCTTATTCTCTAGTGTTCTACAATTTAATTTTTTTTTCGCATAAAGCGATAAAAATAATATAATGCTTTAATCAGCGTAAGAGCTTATCAAACCAGAAACTTGCCATTTTACGCTTTTTCTGATCTGTCATTTGATTTGAATACTAAGTTATGTACCTGCACTAAAAATTCGGCGTTAGATGTAAGAGAAGGTTGAAAAGAGGTAAGAAGGGGTCCTGCACACGTTTCCCGCACATCAAAAAATAGAAATAAACAACTTTAAGGTTCGCGTATCGCTGAACGCAAAAATCACAGTTCACGGGGTTTTATTCTCGTATTTTCACAAGGCACGAAAATTAGAAACGCTTCATCCTGCATCACGCAAAAACCCCTTTCATCCCCTCATCAAGAGAATAGAAACATTATTTTATCTTTCCCTTTTCTAAGGTCGCTCAGTGAGAGTCAGAACTGGCTAGCCGGACTCGTAGCTTTAGCTAGAAAGCGAATTCTACTGTTGCTTATAACTGTCCGGTCAAAGTAGCCCTTCCAAATTTGCCTGTTGGTGCTTCTTTGATATTATTCCTGTTGTATCTGTCAGTGATTAAACTTACTATACTGGTTGGTAGATTGCCACCATTCGGATTCGCAACTTTATCAAATAAATTAATCCTGTGTTTTCCCCTCTAAACATGTATGATTATTTGAGTCATTCTCATCTGCAATGCTATTTTAGGTAATTAAGATTTTTAAAATCAATTACCGATTATAATTTGGTGCTTTTTTTAAAAATATTTGCATCGTTTGTACCTCTAAAGAAAAGTGGCGGTTATTTGGAAAAACCGCGAAATAAAGTAGCGGCATCCACCAAATATACCCATCTAAATGCAGTTCAATTGTTCATTGTTTTAAATATCGATTTTTGACTGAACATGAAACTTGTCCGTTTGAATAAGTCGGGCTGCACTTGCTTGCTATAGATGTTAAAATCCAGATGTGGTTTCAGCATTAGTGCTTAAATATATTGAATCATTTGGCAGTATAAAACGTTACTTTTAACTGATTTTGTCACTAACGAAAGAGTGCTTTTGGTCGGCTGAACAGTTGCCTTCCCAAGGCTACTCGAATGCAAAAGTTACCACCAACAATTTGAGAGTTAAAAGACGAAAATAAAAATAAAATGCATTGTTCGGCTGTGTTATTTTCATGGAAAGTCAATAGTCTGAAACTCACTTGAAAGCGGGTTTGAATGACCGGAAGTTCTTCAAATTCGGATAAGTTCCTGAGGACATTCCTCTCAGTCCCTTCGCATCCTGGGCAACAAGAAATAGTTGTACGACTATAGGGTGTAGCATGGAGACATCGAGGAGGAAGGGAAAAAATAACTTAGATTATAATAAATGCTTTTGGGGACAGAAAAAATGGTTAGAATAAAAAGCGGTCACTTGTCGTTTCACCTGTTTTTATAAAAAAGGATGTTCGTCAGTACGAAGAAATTTGATGAACATCATTATGCCATGCAAGCTTCTGGCCTCCAGTTGATATGAATAGGACTTTCAATTATTGCGTGGTTGCCCCGAGCTTTGACAGAGGAAGTTGTTTCATTTCCTTTTGCGATGCTTAGCTTTTACTTTGCATTTTCACTATTAGCTACCGGATATTGAAAGAAAGCATAATCAAGTTTAGAGTTATGTACCATTTTTTACCTCAAGAAAAGGGACCGTGTCAGTTCAGTTTAGACCTCGTGAATTATTTTTAAGACTGCCAAGATTGCGGTCTGATAAAAGGCGCCAGCTGAAAACTGAAGTAATCGGAACCTTTCGGGCTAGATTACAACGTGCTTCAATCGATGTCAAAATCATTAGGTGGTTTACCTAAATGTTTAAAATGAAATATTTAATAAAGTGAAAACAAAATATGAATTTTTTGTAGGATAAAAAGAAAGAAAAACTGTAGATTTGGCTATGAAATACCGTTTCTTGATATTTTTTAACAGTATTTTAGTGTACTTATTGTCTGCCAAAGTGTAATCGATGTTTTTGTCATTCTTTCACCAGTCTTTATGTCCCCGCCTTGTGTTCCACACCTGACATGCCAATCAGAACTTTATGTAAATTTTGGCATTTCATTGACAATTTTAAATGCAATCTATAGAAAAAATGGCTCATGGCAAACTAAATCGGAGTATCATAAAAACGTGCAGGTTGTAATAACTCTTACAATAGAATATTGTTCTTGAATTCTATGACATTACGATTAAAAAATGATATTTAGACTAATGTTGGGTTGAATTTCAATCCGGAAATGTGAGGGCCGCTATGGAAATTTAAATCTTCGTCACAGGACGTAGGTGTAATGTAAGGGAAGTCGTCATACATGTTTGAAATTTATCAAAGAAAACTTCTATAGGAAATGCAAACAAAGGCGCCTTCTTTCCTGGAATGCCGTTTACTTGTAAATAATTAAAACTAATAGTAAAACAATCGATGTGGTCAAGAAAAGGTTCTTCGTCTTCATCTAAGTGGAATTTTGTTCATGAAAACACACATTTCATGTTTGATTCACATATTTTCACCTGATTATTGTCTCATTGATTAGCGGAGTTTGGGAGATATTTGTTAGAGATGATCTACCGTATGCAGGAGCAGCAAGATTTCAAGCTATATCTGTAGACAAGCTCGCTAAAGGAACATTTGGCAGCTGTTGATCGTAAGTAGAATAGTAAAATGAACTTTAAAAAGTTTTACCTTCTTACAGTCATGTTTACTTGACGACAATTTCTGTTTTTTATCACGAAGAGTTCAGTCTTATTTCATTTCGGAACTGTGCATTCAAAGGGAGCCATCAGCAACATCTACCACACTAAATTACTAGAAGAGCGTTTTCGGTCTTATGGTTCTGTATTGTAACATAATCAATTCTAAATTTAATAAGAACTTACCGCCGTTATTTCCTTTGAAAAATTAAACAGGAACAACCACAAACGCAATTCACTAGAAAAGATAAATCAACATGCAATCGCAAATGTTCGTAGGAAAGATGGGGACGGAAATTTCACTCGTTCCGATGTTGACAATCACTGATTTTCGATTTACATTTTAGTAAAGCGTCCTCGTCTTATGGAACGGATATCAAGTCCTCCACTTAGCTTATAAGTAAAACTTTCTATTGCATAATTCTCTGAAGGTGAGGAATTCTTACTTAATGTTGTTTTTTGTTGGCTAAAATCAGGGGGGGAAAGGTGTTTACACTGGTAATAGCCTCGGTAAGGACGGTTTTATTCAAACATCGAATGATGATTTTCTGTGAGCTGCATGCTGCAAAGCCAAAATATGCTTTTCCAATAATCTAGCTAGTAATCGTCGAGAAAACTAACTGCTGTTACTATAGCGGCGGCAAAATATGTTTTCGTTGACAAAGATGCAAGAAGCGCCGGTGTAACATCTAACCCCCAAAGCGGTTTTAATGCAACATCATTCGGAAAATAAATATCGGACTTTGTCTTTGTTTTCCTTGAAGCGAGTGTAACCCTCAATTTATTGAATAAATTAAAATAGACATCCCCTTTGTCTGATGTATGATGTTCCTGTCCTTTCTTTCAAGCGTGTGTATTGCTGCAACGGTTTGAAAACATTTACAGGAACGCGTTCGCATATCGCGCTAAGGTTTTTTAGTTTTCATTTTTTCCATATGATGTACCATATCTGAAGAGAAACTAATTTTCAATTTTGCAAGTATTATCATGTTGGTAGTTATTGTAATTTCGGTTGAAATTCAAGGTTATGACTGCAGGCGGCAAGGAAGTAGCTAAGCATATAAATGCAAATGACGTTAACACAGCAGTTCTCTCTCTGGAGAGCGTGGGAGGACGTACCATGTAATTGAAATATCTGAGAGAATGAAAGGGAAGTACAAAATGGCGTTAAAAATGACGTGTAGGGGTGGGGTTGGTGTTTTTCTTTTTATCTGCGACGTCACTATGTAAAGCATACATGAAGTAAGAGGCAAGACATTGAGTCTTCCACGAACTCATTTCCCTTCGCCACTAACATGCTCCTCATTTCAAAGATGGCAAGATTGGGAAAGCTTTAATACCAAAAGATAAACGAAACGAAAAAACTTACGATACCGGGCGTAAATCGAAGGTAAGATCTACAATATGATTTCTCTTGTCATATCTATTCTGGTGGTACAAATTCAGAAATCCGCGTTAAGAAGTAGACACAACAAAAGGCAAATATATAAATCCTGTAATCCCACCATATTTTGAAGACCGACAAATGGCACCAATGCTGCTTTACGGTGCTTTCCTAGTTCCCCAACCCCCAGTAACTGTTTTGTTTTCTGCATTTTAAGCGGTTGGATATCATAATTTTCCACATCCAACGAAATTTCTTCTTGTCCCTGGCTTTCGATTATTGCACGCTTATACGCGTCATTAAAGTAAATAAGGTCTTTATAAGTCTCCTCACCATGGGGACTCAGGGCCTGCCCTCCCTTCCTGCTCACGTTTCCAAAACTACCAGGTATAAAAGTAGATGACAGAATTTTAAACAGAACATGAGTTATGATTTATTTGAATTTGTATTCCATAATAATAACTTTGTAAACAAAAAACCCTGATAATTTACACCTCGTTACATTGAACTCGCAAAAAATGGCTCAAAAATATTTTTTCTGCCTTTCCATATTTGGCACTTCCACCCGGCCCTGGATATAACATGTACTTCTGAAAAGAAAATTCGAACCAGGTAACATTTCTGGGATCACGTTTAGGTTTTGTCTGGTGTATAATTCTCTTGAAATTAAACATTATTTTACAGAAGATCTTATTGGTTAAAACCCCGGCCGATTCGATACGCAAATGAACAGACAGTCAAAAGTTAATGAATAATTCATAACTAAAAGCATTCATTGAAGTGTCAACTATTGTTTCCAGTCAAAAATACAATTACGAAAGCAATACTAGGATAGATTAAACAAGATTGCCCTTACCGATCTGCAATCCTCGTTCCCCTCCATCTTGAGAGATGCAACACCACTGACAAAGTACGTTGTGTAAAACCACTGAAAATCTATTGGAAACCCCACCAAAAAAAAAAAAATTGCCAAAAAAATCCCGCCAAAAAGTCCTAACTCGAAAATCCTAACTCGAAAATCCTAACTCGAAAATCCTAACTCGAAAATCCAACTCGAAAATCCAACTCGAAATCCAACTCGAAATCCAACTCGAAATCCAACTCGAAATCCAACTCGAAATCCTAACTCGGTAAATAGGCAACCTCGTCATGGTTCAAGTATATCAAAGAAGGGCGGTTGAATTTGAAACACTTTCAATTTGAGAGCGTTTTGGAATCCTATATCTTGTCATATACAAAATATAAACCTATTTACATCATTTTGTGTCCTCACGGAGCATAAAATTTTAAATGAGGGTGGTCAAACAGGAAAAAAGTCTGGTAAGACATGATTGGAAATTTTCAATTCATTTGTGAGAATAATTAGCCGAGATCCTTCTCCATAGTTCATTGGGGAAGAAACTCCTCAAGAAAAAAAATGGAACTTTATATTTCACGGGATTGTTTTCTGAAGAGCAATTTTATGCATTTAATTGACTTACATGTATGAGCACATGCAAACCAAAGGCCGAAAAAATGTCGATATATATATTTATAATTTTGTAAAGCAGTAATCATAATCGTATTTGGGTAGCGAAACATTTTCTGTATTTTTAGTGTGCGGTACTTTCAATTTTCATCTGCCTTCTTCAAGAGGGATCCATTACGAAAGCTTTTTACAAACTGATAACTTAAGTGGTTTGGGCTAAACAGAGAAAAAAAAAGTAAAACTTTTTAAGTCGTTTTAGATCATAATGTTGATAATTCTCATAATTTTTCAGTTGCCATTTAACCAACGATAGACTTTGGACATTTTTTTGTTGTTGAAGTTTGTTTCTTTAATCCTTGTGTATGATTGCTTAAAGGCCCTGCTTGGTCTTTCGCATCTGTCATCCAATTGTTTTCTCTTTTATGTTCATCATTTTCATTTTCAATTTTTTCATAATAATTAGAAATTAGAATGGGAACTTTGCAAAGTCCTTTAAATTCTGCAAAAGACGATATTCGGATCTGACAGCATTCACGATGTCATTAAAAAGTTGCATGTGGACTGACACGACTCGAAAAAATATGTAATTATGGAGTTTTACTTCCGCTGTACTGCTTTTGACAAAAAAAAATTATCAAATTTTGCATTCTTCCCTAGGTGAAAGCAGTTTTAGATTTTTGGATGTATTTAAAACCGGCTTGCAATATTTTCATCCTGAGAAGTTTCCTGAAATTTCATGAAATTTCATGCTGTTCAAAAATGACAACAACGTGACAGATAATTTCACTATACAAACAATGCATCGATTTGTCGTTCACCTTCTCAAAATTATCATATTTTATCAAACTTTCATTCTGCGCAGGTTAACCTTTTGAGGAAGATCTAGCTGTTTCTGAATCTTAGTAGAAGCTTTACAACGACGCGTACAATCAATAAGGTAACTTTTTGAGAAATGTTACGAGAAAAGGTATCTAATACTAATTTACCTTATGTTTTAAATTTTTTTTTTCGTGGCAACTGCTGCCATTCGTAATTTGAACTCACTAGAGAATTCATCTCAGGAACACCGGACACTTAATATTTGCTGAGCATAACATTTCTTCAACGTTCAACATAGCTCACAGACCAACACAGTTTCACGAATAAATAAATAAGTAATATATATCATTTTAGGAGGTTTGTTGTCTAGGAATCGTAAAACAAGGGCAATTTTGATCAAGCGGCAAAACCAAAAGTTGCATTTTGTCTACAGTATGCTATGCTACTACAATACAATTAAATCACAATTGTTCATGGTGCGTCTTCTGAAAAACGTCCTTTGTAACTTGATATTTTTGGGAGTTTGATTTTAATCCTGTAATTTTGGACGTAAATGTATTTCTTGTTTGACTTAACAAAATAAACGGAATGGCCTTGATCTCCAGATGGTTGGCAGACGTGTCCATCTCTTAGCACACGAACACATTTTACTCCAAATCAACCATCCTACATGAAATCTGGACTGAGAGCTGTAATATAATGTTTTTCTAGAACCACATAGCATTGTAATCACGGAAACCTCACGACATCGATCAAAAATCGATCAAATCGTACTGTCCAAACATCTCTACGCAAAAAAGTAACCCTAACTGAATAGTGTGATTGTTCGGAAAAGTTCAGATCAAATTGACATTCTACTCTCCGACAAGGTAATGAAGTTCCATGAAATTTCCTGCGCATGCCTCAAACCTGATTGAATTTTCTGAGCTTTTGCGAAACCCTCGCTACTGTGAGACGTACACGAATTTTGGATTTCGTTGCCAAGGTGCCAAAAAATTAGGATAATTTACAGAAACAAAGCACGGTATGGGTCAGCATACCATTTAGGATTACTTCGGCCCTACAGTTTACGTTTTTACGTTTTTATGCTCCCTTTAGACATGTTTTTCAATAACCTGTTTGTGATTGAAAACTTCATTAAATAAATGGAAGGGCTATTTATTTGAATAAGAAAGCACTATGACTGATAAAAAAGAGATATAGAATTACTAGAAGTTGTTTAAAATGTACTCAAATAAGAATACTGTTCCTTGATTTTTAAACGGTTACAGTTTCCAAAGAGAAGTGGGTATCTTCCAATCACAATTCTCCAAACCCATCTGCTTCCTAAAAGGACAATATGCCAAGCTAACAATTTAGCAACATAAATTGATTTGACTTAAAACAGTTGAATAGATATTAAATATTAATGTTGACATCGATATTCACAATGAATTTTCCTATGGTCGAAGAAAAGCCTGCTTGCCTTTGCATCTTTCGTAAAGTGAACACAGATAATCGATGAAAGGTAGAAGAAATTACTCTCAAGATATGAATGGCGCTAGAAGGAGGTCCGTAGCTGGTGACGATTAGTTTCAATGTAAAGTTTAATTTGAACGCTCTGGATCTATTGTTGTCACACACGCCGTTTACCACAAACAAACTGAAAAAAACACAGCTTGTATTGTACGGAAACAGCGAATGTGTCTAGGGAAAATGCAAATAGATCGACAAAATTGCCACCGCGGAAGGTTGCCGAAAACTTTATATCAAAGCACACGGGCCCTCCTCAAAGACATTTCGTGTTGTGTTTAGGATGTCACGAAGGCTAAGCTTGTAAAATTTTGTTTTAAATACACGGTATTTCAGGATATTGGGGTGTTTGAGGTAGGTTTTATCAAAAATAAAAACAGAAGGGGCATAAGTTAAAGCTTCTTTATCTTGAATTATAGCTTTCTTGTTTCACGACTTAAAATAAAATGTATGACCTATTTTTAGCAAGCAAGTTCTCTCAAGCTAAAATCTTCAGTTGATGATTTTACAGTTTTATTCGAGTTTTGATTTGACTACAGTAGGTTCCGACCAGGCTTGACCCTGATTTTTTTCTGAAATTTTATTCCTTTCAGGTGTATTAGCATGAATTTGTGGGTGTTTTTTCATTTCTTACTCTCGTTCCTCATTCACGCACAATCACAACCTGTTAAGTCACCATTGTATATTGGGTCTATGGCTCCCTTGACTGGCAGGCGTGCTTGGTGGGGCGCAGGAATCACAGCTGCAATGCGAATGGCTTTTGATTACATCAACAAGGACTCTGACATTTTACCGGGGTATGAATTGAAATTGTTGGCGAACGACACGAAGGTGAGGTTTAGAACATTTTATCAACAAACGTTACGCTAACACCTCATCATTTACACGTTAAAGACTTCAGCTTAACACTCCACGTTTCACATTTTTTGTTTCACAATTACTTCTCACAATTCACACTTAGCATTCTACCTTATAATGAACATTACGTTTGTAAAAAAAAAAACGCGCAAGAGAGTGTGACAATCGAACTTATGTCATGTTAAATCGTTCATATGGTGTTCTGTCTTGTCTATGAAGTATTCATTGATCAGGAAAATCAATTTTCAATTGAAATTTATAGGGATAGGAAATAGGGCGAGTCTGTAACCTTCCACGTTTAAAAATCAGTTGAGCTTTCACACAACGTCATATTTCTTTATTAATATTTTTATCTCAAATGACATCTGTCAACTGATGCCGTTTGACTTAGCTTAGATCATGTTTAAAATCGAAACTCCTGTGTGTCATCAGCGGAGGTTCCATGATAGTTATAATACCCTTCATTCCATTAGTATAGGTTATTTTAGTGTTTTATGCTTTCTTATTGAACATTAATTATTGAATATTGTCCAAATTTACTTCTCCGAAACTGATTTTGAAACCGTTGTGCGTTAGGGATAAGGCGGGGACATTCTTTGCAACCACTGAGGACCGGTAAAAATCTTTAGGAGCTATAAATAAACTTTCCTTGAAACAATACCAGGAAACAATGTTGGATTATTGTTTCTCTTGACAATACTTATTACGTATATGATAGGAGACTGTCGAAGAGATCAAATGACCATCATTTTGATTTCAGTGTTTCCTAGCTTCACGTTTTAGCCGCCATATTGCAAACACTCTTCATGTTTACTCTTTGGAGACTCTGGATTTTTTATTTTTTTATTAGTGAACGAAAGAGTTGTATTAAAAAAATTAGACCAGGGAACAAAAAACACTCGCTGCTAATTAGAGTTTTTACATCTTTTTATGTATTTATTTCATAACATGGAAAGTAATTCTTCTTTTTTATTGCATAAAGGGAGAAACTGGTTTAGGCAACAAAATTCTTTATGGTTACATCAAAGAAGGGAGACCTTTAATTGTCTTAGGGCCCGGCAGATCCAACGTTGCCCTGTCCGTGGCAGATACTGCCAAATACTGGAAAATGATTCAGGTATTTCTTATGATCTGTGTTCTTGGGAAAGACCGTGACTTTATTTTCGCAGTGCCGCCTTCCACCCAGTAGCATAAATAAGTACCAGCAAATTGTCAGGGAAACTTAGTGAAATGCTGAGGGGACGTAACCTGCGATGGACTAACATCCCATCCACGGGGGAGAAGCGACACTCCTGGTCGATCGCTTCATGCTGCGGGACACTTTGATGGATGGAATGGGATTGGAGTCCGGGCTCGAGTACAGACTTAACTTTACATATCTATTGTACAGGAGTTTGCAACTGATTTCAAGAGATATTAACGCCGTAACGAAATTTCCCTCTCTAACTTCAAAATGTTCACTTTATACCAAATGTTCTCAGGGAAAAGAAAGTTCTAAGTAACCTAGACATTCTACTATAACAGCTTTTTGAATTTTGTTTAATTCAGATTTCAGCTTCAGCTGAGAGTGGAGACCTTTCCGACTCTGTGACGTATCCTTACTTTTTTCGCACAATTCCCTCCTTGTCCTCATCCAAATCCACTTTTGTGGCTCTTGCGAAGGCATTTGGTTGGAAGCGAGTATCGATCCTGTTTTATAGCAGGGATATGTATATAAAGGTGAGATATGCTGAAGATAGAAGATGTGTTGCATATCGTCTAGATTGCATGTAACCAGCCAGACCCAGGCATTCAAGTGACAAACGACTCAACATTAATATTATTTTGGACGTCAATCAGTGACTACCGCTTATAATCAAAGGCTATCCACTCACTCAACTTAACAATCCACTGACTGCAACCTAGAGACAATTTTTAAAAGACGTCATCTTTCTTAAAAGCATGATGTCATTGAAACACATTTTTTTTGGTCATCTCTTAGGCTGCTACCAATCTTAAGGAAGAATGCGAAAGAAATAACATCACTGTGTTGTCATACGGAAGCTTCAGGGACATCAATGATGCCGAGAACCAATTGAGGCACATCAAGGTACAGGGGCCACAAAGATTTACTTAATTATACAAGTTTTCATTTCAGTTACAAGGAAGGATTGTGCACTTTACTATACACAATCGAGTGCAGCTGGTTATGAACTACAGAATCTTCTTTATTGATCTTTTGTGGGTTCTATGACCTAATCGCATATGTGCTCAACGTCCAATGGCATTTATTATTCAGTTACCTCTTGTGACCACGAAAACAAAAGATTGATCGTGCCCGACTCCGGAGCTCTTCTTCGAAAGGCCCTTTGTAAATAAAAGTCATTCATGGAACCACAACGAACCTGACTTAGTTCATTTCTCCGTGTTAGAAACTGGGAATGTGTTTGCATACTGATTTGCTTGCCAAAAAAGATTACTCATATTTTATCCATCAAAAACAGAAGAAGGTCTGGCCGAATTTTCCTGATTGTTAAGAGTTTTCACAACTGTGAGCTTTCAAGTTGCCTTACGTCTTCCTAACATAGTATTTCTACGGGAGCTCACCTTACGTGATGCTTATCTTTCCAGCATCTTGATGCGAGAATCTTTTTTGCATTCCTGCAGAAGACGACGGACGTAATGTGTTTGGTAATTAAAACAAACAATTCTTATCATTTCTTTTTTACTTTCATCTTGCTTCATAATATTAATGCTTTTATCGTACGTTAAACCTCAACTGATACATTTGTCCTCTCAGTAGATTTATAAGTACAACCTTTACGGTAATAAATACGGATGGGTAATACATACTCCTGATTCACGGGGATGGTGGAAAAGAACCTTCCCAGACACTGGTTGTTCTGAACAACAAGTAAACACAGCAGCAGAGTACTCCATAACTGTTGACCATCTTTACATAACCAAAGATAATGTGTCCTCCATATCTGGTTTGGTAAGTTGCATGTGATAAACATAAATGTGGACGATGAATGTTACAGCCCAGTTATGTTTCATGTCTCAATAGTTTATTCTGAAGAGGGAAATTCCAGTATGAAGAACTGTCCTAATTTCCAAGTCGATGATTTATTTCGAATTTTTGTTCTATTTTTTCCCACAGACTCCTCAACAGTTTTCCAAGGTGTATGAAGAGTTTGCAAATAACACAAAAGTAAAGACGTCACTTTATGGACCGTTCGGTTTCGACGCTGCCTGGCTGGTGGCACTTGCATTAAAAACATCCATCGAAAAACTGTCCGAATCCCAATTGTTGAACATCCAGGATTTTGCAGAAAATAATGAATCTGAAATTGTTAAAGAGAGTCTCCTGACGACCAGATTTAAAGGGGTGACGGTTAGTGCTCAATAAACCCAGACTCCATAGTTTCGAAACTTAACCAAAAACAATTTCAGGGGCTGCTGTAATTCTCCTAGCGTTAAAAAATGCCCTAATCATGAAGATATTTCGGGCAAGAGGGTGGGACATCAACAGATGTGATACACACGACTCTTTTAGTGGGTGGAAAGGGGGTGTACACGCGATAAGCATATTTTTAAGTCAGTTTGTTGAAAGTTGTGACATTATTCCAGCAAAACTTCATCGCAGAAATAAAAAAAATAAAAAAAAACTGACGCTGATGGCAAATGTTATATATATTTTTATGTTCTGCAAATTCAGTAGAACATATATACATGTAAATACTGAATGCAATTGAAAAACGGCACCCAATTAGAATAACCACATTTTTATTAACCCCTCTTCATATAAAGTGAACTTACCTTTTTAATTTAAAATAATCTAATTCAAGGATAATGCACATAACTGCATAATGGTTGTTCGGATTTCCTCAACAGGGCGAAGTTCGACTTGGGAGCAATGGGGATAGGGCAGGGAAATTTGAAGTTTTTCAACTTAGAGGTAACTACATAAATGCATTGCATGGGATTATTATGTCATTTAAGCCAAGAAAACATACGATAAAAGATGACTCGATGGTTTTGATGTTCAGCAGCTTGAGTTAGCTAAAAGATAGAATTAATCAGTCTGAAACCAATTAAATGTATTTACGTAATTGTATATTTTGAATAAAAAATTGTTTACAAGTAATAACAGCGCTTTTAAATTCACTATAGTCTACTCAAATGTTACCATTTTCAACAGTCATGAATGTTAATTTCGTTCCATTATGACATTAAGATATCTGGTATTTTCACAGGAAGCGCTCTCGATTCCATTGCCTTTCACGACGCTACAAAACCTGATCTTCTCTCTTTCTACAATGAAATGGAGTTTAAGTGGAGAAGTATGTAACAAAGTTTTAATTTTGTGATACATAGTCAAATCTAAAGTTTGTTCGTGAATGGCATTTAAGGTGATTTCTCAGTACTTGAAAGCACATCCTATACTGTGCATGACACCGCGTTTAAGACGAATAAGTGTGTTTGCATTCCAAGAACATGATGCGGTATTTCATTTTTTCATTCAATTAACGGGGTAAACAGGTACCACTGTCTTTTGCTCTTGAACAAGTGCGGGACCTGTATCTTGTATTACTTATTCTTCGTGTCCAAATTGTTCTCTTTAAATGAGAAAAATCATTAAAAAAAATTTAATTGGAAGAAAAAATAGATAAAGCTAAAATCGGGGATAGATTCCATCAATTAAGCAAGCCCTCCCTCGGTTGTTATTGTCGAGTCGAAGTAGCTTCGAAAGATGTCGTCTATATATTTTTTCAACTTCTACCTTAAAGACGTGGAAAATACTTTTAACGAGAAATACCACACATGGTCTTGTAAATTTTCTTAAAGTCACAGTTTCATTAAATTTAATTTTTTATTCTTGATTAAGCAGATGGTGAAGCCCCTCGTGACCACGTTCTCTTTGAGAACAAACTGATCCATTTATCGGAGGGGAATTTTATCGTTATGTGTGTTGTAGCTAGCGTGGGGATTTTTGTCTGCTTTGGATTTCTCTACTTTAATGTTGCCAATAGACATATAAGGTAAGGTTTCAAATTTTGTGTTCAGTTAACAATACAAATCAA